TTCATAAAAACCAACTCGCGAAATGTCTTAGTGTTTGGCAAAGGTTTTTCTATTTTTAAAGCATAACCAATTCAGAATTAAGAAGTGCAATGACAACGTATAGGGTTGTTATAACCCCGAAATTCTGGAGCAAACATAATAAATAGAAAGAAATTCATTTTAAAAATTTAAAAGAATATAAAAGCCTGAAAATATTCGGAAATAAACTTGATCAATTAAAAATACATAGCCAATAGTGTCAGCGATTTGTAACTATAAATAAGGTCAAGCTCAAAGTAGGAAAAGTATATGAATGCTCTTTACATCAAATAGTCAGAGGTAATAAGAATCACTACCAGGTAGGAAAGGGCTGTTAAAATGTAAATATGGAGGTAATATGTATTTCGGCAAAAAAATTGAGAACCAGAATTCCAAGTCCCTATTAAAACTGACAAACGAGTTAATTATGTAAAAAAATATGAGGTGTCTTTATTTTATTCGTTTCAGATGATGAGGTGACTGGTAGTTGAATTCTCCCACAATAATATGAATAGACCATATGTTTCCATTAAATTTCACATAGCCCGGTTTTCACAAGTATTCTTATCTAGACTGGATTGCAGTTTCAGCGTCCCAAACAGGACTCTAATCGTGATAATGCAGCATACAATGTCAACACATTAAACACTACGCCACATTGCCTCGAATACCCATGGGTCACAGAGTAGATGTGGATTTCAAGGAAGATCAGAAATTTTCCCATTTCACATTATGTGTTGGGGTTTCCCTATTATGTAATATATACATTTATATATGGTCTTAATTCTAAAACCTATTGACAAAAGAAAAATAAATAATGTAGTCGATTGTTATGGAAGGTACAACTTAGACAGTCCGATCATAGAATGTGATATTGGAAAATGCCTGGCTTTCTTTGAAATTTTCACCTGCTTTATGACACAATGGCACTCGTATCAATGCGTTGAGATTATACACTAGATTGTCATCATTTGAGTTCTAATGAAACCTAGACAAGGTCGATACTGCAGTCCACCCTGGATAAAATATCTTTTGTGAAAACAGGGCTGTCTAATTCAATGGAAACCTAAGTTATATTCATATTGTTGTAGGAAAATTCAAGTACCAATCCTCTCATCCACCTAAACGAATGGGGTGTATACACCCTCATATACATTATCTATTGGTAGTCTGGAAAACCTACGTATAAACAATAAAATGTGCAAGGTTTGCGACATTTAGTTGAGCAAAATAAAGCAGATCATCATTTAATATCATGACATTTATCTATACAATCAATCATAATTTATTATTATAGAACTACGAAGGAACAAAATTTAATGCGCCGTTTGGCGCTAATGTAGATCACCTAAGTGAAATTAAATCTAATAAGTATTAACTATAAGAAAATAGCGTGTATACCGCGAATTATTTTGTTTATTTCGACAGCTTCAGAATCTGGCTCCCCATTCACACTACTTCGATGTAGAAAAGAAGGTAAATCGGAGGTTGGTAAAGAATCTGAACGACTGATCTCTAGTGAGACAAAAGTGCAAAATGCGGTTAAATTGAATGATAAAAAAATAATAACATGGATTGCAAAATATTAAATCCAACCTAAATGAAGGCTGTACTAATATTAGACGCTTATCAAAAATATTTTAAAATCTGCATGGATTTTAATAACATATGGAGTTTTCTGTTTGTTATACAAACTTCACCTAATCTAGAATCATTTGACTATGTACCTTTTAGTACTATTCGCACTACCACAGATTTAAATATAAAGTAAAATAAGGCTATGAATTTTCTTAAAATCTAGGAATGCTTTAAGCGCAAATTTTCCCAAAATAACTTAATACATTCTTATCATAATTATTTATTGCATATTAATTATACTTGTTAAGAGGACGAAGGACCGGCAGTTGAATCTTCTTACAATGATATCAAAAGACCTTACCTCTCCATTAAATTTCACATAGATTTGACTGCAGTCTCGACCTCAGCATGGTTTCATCAGCACCCTCCAGCGGTCTGTAGTGTATAATCTCGGCGGAAGGCTAGGCATTTTCCAATATCACATTCTGATGTGGTTTCTCTATGCGGTTATATATATTTATCAACTCAGTCTCGAAAACTTACTTATAAACTAAAAATAACTAGATAGGATGTTTTAAGCCATAATGATTGAGGAAATCAAGGTAAGTATTTGGATTTCACTGTGCAGTCTATCAAAATAGTGGAATATGGTTTTGGCCTCTCCTATACAATAGTTCAATCGGGAAGACATGGAAAAATAAATTTCAATATTAGATGTGTTCGCTATTTTTCGTTTTAGTAATAAAGAACTCGTAGTTGAATTTTTATATGATATTAGTATACGTGATGCTTTCGTTAATTTGACATAGCTTTGCTTCTTCGCTGGATATATGGATGAAGCCTAGGCGAGGTCAAAAATGCATTCAACCCTGGACAAGAATATATGTTTGGGAAAGCAAGACTAATAGTCTCAAAACTCTACTTATATACAAAATATAAGTAATGTAGTCTATTGTTATAGCAAAAATACGTTTGCCTTATCGATAATCTCACCAAAGAATGTGATATGAGAAAAGGCGGGCCTTCCTTAAAATTAAAATATGCCCTGTGACCCAAAGGCATTCGTGGCAATATGGCTAAGTGGTTAACGTATCAGGCTCACATGATGCACTGTCACGATTCTACCCCCGCTGGGGGTGTTGACAATGCCTAGGTGGCGTCGAAACTGCAATCCACCCTGGATGACAACTTTTGGGAAAGCAAGGCAATTTAAAAACGACAGCTCTACTAATATCATTGTGGGAAAATCCTACTATCAGTCCTCCATCACCTTAAACGAAATAGGGCGAATACATCTCATAAATAATTCATAAAGTTAAAGATGCATACCATTAATGGATTGCTCGAGCAAGGCAAAATCTTCGTCATTTTTCACAGAATCTCGGATACATGGGTGGGTCGGAGTAACAATCACTCGTTTGGACTTGTTTCTATTAGAATACTTCTCATGATGCCTCCTCCTGTGTCCCGACAGGCTAGTCAAGACACCTTCGTAAGTAGGATTATTTTGCTTGGCTGTTGATTTTCGAACAGACTCTTCCACTGTGTTCGGATCTGTGAAGTTTAATGTCGGTGGCGTCGATGATACTGGTAGTGGAGATGGCGAGGATAAAGGAGGCATAGGAGACGAATACGGGGAAGAGTGGTCCTGCCGCGAGCCAACTTGAGTATTTATGGAGCTAATAGAAACTGGAGCAATATCAGGTTGAGGAATACAGTTATCATCCTCTGATTCTGAAGAATCGTATGCTATAAGCCCAGGAATTCCGTCATGACAAATGTCAGTTGGAACGTCAGGACTGCAGGAATGAATTTCAGTTGACGTTTGAATGAGTGGCTCAAATGACGCAATCACGACTGGCTGGTTAGATTCGAACGAGGATCCATTCGGATCACGATCTTTCGTTGTTGCTGAATAAGCACTACGTAGACGACTAGAACTACTCGATTTGTGCATCAGTTTAAAGCTTATGGTGCCTGAGGGCTTGATTGAATCAGAATCTATGAAATTTTTCAAGACAAAAAGCAGCAATATTTAGAAAAAGCAGTGACGAAGAGAAATTTTAAAGTGCATTTGATTCTAGTTGATTTCAAAACAAAATAAAATAATTAGGTCATTCAATGAACGAAAGGTTGATATGAAGACTATAATAAATCTAAACGATAAAATGCTGAGGTGAATTTTCCGATAGTCATACGAGTATATCTCACGATGCCACTGAATTTCAGCTAGCCTTGCTAGTGGAACGCAGTTTCTATTTGTCCCGGGCCTCATCAGCACACCCAACAAAAATCAGACTCAGACAATGCAGTATACAATTTTAACGTTATCACTACGTCACAATTCCACGAGTCCAAATGAGTCATAGGGCATACTTGAATTACCAGGCAATTAATATCACAAATTTAGTAGATAAGGCTAACTTGTATCCTAAATAGTAGACATTGTCATAAATCTACTAGGCTACTTATAATCAAAATGAGCGGGTCTCGAGATTGAGTAAATCTTGAATAGAACAGGTAGTCGCTAACCTAGATTGCATAAGGTGATAAGAATTGATAGTTTACTTGTCTTATAATCACAGTGAATTTCAACTAGCCTTGTCTTTTAAAAGGCATTATCACTCAAAGTGATCTGCCATTTCTACCCCACCTAGGCTAAATCGGCTAACTCAACGGGAATTAAAAAGGATAGTGAGCGGAGTATAAGTTCATCATGTTACCACCCGCGCTACAATGCAATGGATGCAAGTTGGTATTATGGCAGACATGGATTTTAGGGCAAGCCTAATCTACACCACATTTATAGTGCAACTAAGGTCAGCTTTTATTTTGACTGTTACTATGAGTAGAATAGAATAATTATAGACCATATAACTCGGCTTCCATCTTTGTTCCGGTACTGATAAGACACAGACAAAGTATAAACTGCAGTCCACCTTATATGAGAAAACCTTTTAAGAAAGAGAATTAGGTTAAATTCAATAGCATTGAGGCCTACTCGTAACATTTAAAGCAAATGCGAAGATTCATCAATCAAGCTTACCGGTAGAAGTCACATTAGAGTTTTTGGATTTTTCTGAAATCGCGGTACTAGTCTGATCTACGTTACTCTTCTCCTCAACCACGGCATCAGTTTGGCTCTGTTCGGCTTGCGCTAGAGATTTGTCGATATTATTGCTTAACTCCTTCTTCCTGGCAAGATAATAAGCATGGAAGGGATGAGAGACTTGCAAAAAGGTAAACCTAGGATCATTAGCCTTCTGTTGGGCAACGATTTGTTCGAAATCCGGCCCGTTGCGTGCCACATACTCAGCCATCTTCTCAATAATACAACGTTGTTCCGACTGCCTGAACAAGCATGCATAATCGTGAAAACAAGTGATGACGATTAGATGCCAACACAAATTAAATAGATGTATACATTATACACGTCTGTTTGGACATTAAAATACAAAATTGACGTTTTATGATTTTTTGGAGAAAATAGGTAAATAAGTTTGCCACGCGCATAAAAGTGAAAAAAACAAAAAAGGAAAGATAAAAAATGGATTATAGACTGAGGAATTGTGGTAAACTTAATTAAAAAGACCTGCGGAATTACAAATAAGCCTAGATAGTTATGAATGTGTAGAGCAGCCTAGCACTAAATATCAATTCAATTATTGAAGAGTGGTTTGGATAACCTAAACAAAGGAGAACAGTTTTTACAAGGAGTTCATGCATAGTTGTTTAACCTCATTTTCGAAACATTTTCGCGCTGTCAAAAGGATCTAGCTGAACGCAACTTGCCTGAAGTCCTCTGCTATATTAGTTGAAATAATTCCCCACTTCGGGCCGTTGGCTAAGTACATTACTATACGTTTCGTCGACAAGGTGCGCAAACTAGGCTACGCGACGAAGTCGCAAAAACGAGGTCAAACAGATTCTATGCAGCTAAAGGATACTGTAATCAAAACAGAGACCACATAATCTTAGAATGTCACGTTAGCATTAAATCCAATGCTAGTCGGAAATAATGAAAACGGTTGGTAAATAACAAGCAACTGGAAGGCATTCCGAAAAGTAGATGCCGTTAAGTATCCAGACAATACATATACCTGACAATGATCCGTTCCCCGGACAAGCAATATGATATAACATTCATAAGATGTTAAGACTCATCATTATCAATCCCTCGTGTTTACTTAATGCTGAAACAATATAAAAAAGGGTTAAATTAAGCTTATTTTGTCAAAACCCATTATTCTTTAGGCAATAAAGAATGTCTGCTTATTTTT